AATTTAATTATGGTATCTTTAGATTTTATATTTTAGTCCCCAATTCAATGATCATAAAAACCTCTATGTATGAATTATTTTAGTCACATTTGACAGTGAGCTTGAGTATAACATTAATGTTTCTAGGATTTCAAAAGCTTTAGTATAAAGTATGAGTATTTTTATATCAATGCAAAAACCACTTGGACAACCTTGGGATACTAAATACCACCCTTTAAAGTAACCACTTGAACTCAATGAATTAACAATGACTGAGCTGTGAAGCTTTGCTCTTCTCTCATAATTCCCTGACAATTTTGGAATTTTATGGGTGCTGGGAAGTGTGGGTCAAAATCATCTGGAAAGGAAGAGATTCACATGGTCTCCTTCACCTTTTGAACTCTAATAATTCAAAAGTAAATTTAATATAGAGAATGTGGGAACAGACTTATAATAAAAAGGCTGTGCACTTTTATTTATTGAACTTAGGGATCATAATACAACTGCCACTCATCTAAGGTAACCATCTAGGGGAGAATTTGACCATTTGATTTGGACATAAATTATGAACTGCATTCCTTGAGGGCAAAACAAACAAAGAAAAATAATTGTGCCATTTGTGAAAGTGGTGCCAAGAATGTCACATCATCGTTCTCATATTTCACACATGGGTCACACTGATAAAGGATAAACTGTTATGTGACCTCTTGGGTAATAACCACTATACCATAAGTAAAAGAGTGGCACAGGCATTAAAATGTGACAAAGATATAAAATATTTCAAGCAGTAGCGCATAGCAGATTTAGAGTTAAACTGAGTTCAAGTACTATACTTCATATTTTGAAGCACCTAGAATAATTGAATTGGAACAAAGAAGCCAGATAAAAATGCTAAAACAAATATCTAGCCACTTTAATAGATTCTTTCATAAATTAGAAAAAATTCTTAGTTCACATTTTTTTTTAATGCTAGCTAACATGCAGAAATGCTTTGCCAATAGAGCCTTTGCCTATTGAGATTAAGAAACTTAGTTCTTCCTGGAACAAGGGACTAGGACTTTAAAAAGCTTTGGGCATTTATACTTGACAATCCAACATAGAATAGAACAGAATATTTTGTTTCATTAAAGTCTATATGAAAATAGTACATGGACAAGCGAAAATAAATGGCATACAAAAAAGAATAGTAAAAATATTGTACATGTTACTTAAAAGATACTTGAAGGAAAGCCATCAAAAGTACCGAGGTATGGATGGGAAAAAAGCTGATCAAAGTAAAACCTATCTTTACACTTTTAATTCAAACCAGAAGGTTAAGGAGAGGTTCTAAGGTATCAGGAACTATTTTCATTGTAGGTAACATATTCTGGGAGGCTACAGGCAAAAAAAAAAAAAAAAAATTCTATTCTGTCCTATCCAATTTTCCTGGAAGAAATTCCAGCAGCAGCCTGTAAGGTAAATGGAGTGTGGAAAACCAATTCACAAATTGCAGGCTTGGGAAAGAATAACACTGCTTAGAAAATGGAGGTCGATCAAGACTGGAAACATTTCACCTGTTTTCATTTAAATCTTTAATTTTTTTCCCCCTGCTGGTATAGGAAAGTGAATACAGTATAATGGGGCAGTAGGGAGTATGAACTCAAAATATCTCAAAATAGCCAAATTGCCATGCTCCATGTAATTTTCTGTGACTCAAAGAAGCTAGGCATTTGGATAATCTTCCAGTTAAAATGTAGTTCATGAAACTTAAAACACTTATCTTCAATCGTGGGCTCCCTCCTTCATATTATGTAATATTCACTTTAATCAATTAAGAAAGAACTATTTAAAAAACTATAATGGAATTTAAAAGTGGAAAACGACTTGAAATCTTAGTAGACTAATACCCTGTTTTCAGTGAACTGCACAAACACCCATCACAGAAGGGTAAATATCCCCTGCAACATTAAGGATCTGAAAAAGAAAAAGATACCTCTTATTCTCATTAGTTACCCAATCTGTGTCAAAATGCTCCATGGTCAGACTTTTCCAAAGAGGCTAAATCCTTCATGTAAATTCCAAAGTGTTTTATAAACAGTCTGTGACAAGTCAATTAATTCTGGCAAGTCATTATCATTCAAGAATAGAGTTGCATTGCTTTAAAGCTAAGTTCAAAGCATAGATTTACTCTACCACCTCTTCTAGACCTTGGTGAGAGCTGCAACTTCTCCCTACAACCCTCTCCTCAGCCGGCCATTGGCTCCACCCTAGGAGAAGCCTGCCTTGCTTCCTGACCTGACCACCCAAGGTTTGAGTGAATGTTCATCTGCTGGACTTAAAGCCAAAACTTTAGACTTTTGAACTTAGAACGCAGAGGGAATGTCTGTCATTAGCCTATCATGATTAAGCATGTTTTCAGTGCTTAAAATTAATCTAGAATTGTTTGCTGTGAATTAATTAATCTGGACTTGTTTGTTGTGAATTGATTGTCTATTGCAGTGCCTAGCATTAAGGATGGTCGTTTTCTTGAGTAAGAACCTATAGAATGAAATCGTATTGAGTGATCTGTGTGAATAAAAGGGCAGAAGCACATGAACATTCTTTATTTCTCCCCCTCAACTGCATACGTTGCAAGTTTGCCCCTTGTGACATTATGCCATCTTATGACCTGCGGCTATCAGTACCAGTGGCTCTCATAATGACCAAGGTTCTCAGGGAAAAGGCAGAAATGTTCTCCCTTCCTTCAAGAAGTCTATCAGAAGGGTAGTACCACACATAAAAGGTCCCTAGCCTTGAGAGACTTCCCTCTTCACCTCTGGGAGGCATGTTCTTCCATTCCCAAAGTTTGAGAATCTTTGATCCATAGAAAAATAATATAATGACACTTACTTAGCAATTTCTATGGAAACAGGCACTGCTCTATGGACACACTGAATCTTCTCAAGCAATTGGTGAACTTTACTAATACCAACCTTTCACATATGAAAAAAGGAAAAAGTGACGTTCTGATAGTTCAAGGAATTTGCCCACAGTCACCTGAAAAGCTAGAGCTCAGCTCTGAATTCAGAGAATCTGATTCCAGAGACAGCGCACTCTACCACCATTCTACATTCTCTCCCTTGTCCACTGGGATAATTTTAAGAAAACCACAACAAACGTGGAAACACTCTTCAATGTGACAGAGCAGTGACTGAACCATTGTCTCAAAGAGGAAAAGTTATTTAATGAACATAGGAGCCATCCAAGATGAACTGGCCTCATAAAACTGCACTTGAGACTATTTTTCCCCCTCCCTATCCTTTTCCTTCACTTCCACTTTCTTTCATCTTTTTTTTTCCCATAATTTTAACCTTAACTATACAAATCAGTCTCTATTGTACCCATGTGCCAAAGTGACACTATTGCATACATCCACTCTAGTACTTTTTTCGAGGATTTTAATGTCTCTATTTACTTCATTATAAAAACAAGGAATGTCTTGTATTTGATCACTTTAAATTTGAAAAACATTTAAAGATAATGGTGTCTGAATGAAAAAACTACAATTGAAGTCAGTGATATAGATGAATCTCATAAATAAAAGAGTTAGCAAAAGAAGCCAGATGCATAGAATAATACCATATGACTAATTTATATAAGGTGAAAAAATAGACAAGTGTTAGTCTTCAGGGCAGTAGTTACCTGTGGTGTAGGGGCACAATGGGGCTTCTGGGAGTCTATTACTATTTTCTCTTTTGATCTGGCTGCTGGTTACACAAATGTTTCATTTTGAGAAATTCACTGACCTCTAAACTTATATATTTGTGTACTTTTATGTTATACTTTGACACAAGAGTTTAGGGATTACTTCATCCAAAATTCTCATTTGTCTTTTGCATTTTACCATTACTTTTCTCTTTTGCAATTAGACGTAATTAATTTGTTTCACAAAGCTGATAATATAAGCTATCTTATATTACATATAATACAATAATATGAAAGCTATACTGCATCATATCTAATATAATAATATATAAAATAGCAAAGTTATCCTTAGGAAATATTTTATGAGATGTTTTAAAACTAAGGTTTGTTGAAGTATAGAGTAAAAATCAGCCTTTCTATCATTTATATATGGTAAAATATTCAGTTCTAAAGTTTTTGACAAGCACTTTTGCTTGTGCAACCAGTATCCAAATCAAGATACAGATTATTCCATTATCCCTGCAAATTTCTTTTTGCTCTTCTGTAGTTAATGTCATCCCCCAACCTCTAGCCCCTGGCAACAATGATTGATTTTTCTGTCCTGATAGTTTTGACTCTTCCAGAATGCCAAATAAAAGCAATCATACAGTATGTATTCTTTCTAGTTTGGCTTCTTTTATTTAGCATAATGTATTTGAGATCCATCTATGTAATGCATAGCAGAAGTCTATTCCTTTTTATTACTTAATAGTGTTAAAATGGAAGTATATGCCATAAATGAAGAACATTTAAGAAATTTCTAGTTTTTGGTCTTCATGATTAAAACCACTATAAGCATTCAAATATAGATTTTTGTATGAACATGAGTAATGTATTTTGTTTTATAATAATTCTAGTTGTACTTTTACCTATACAAAATATTTTTATATTGCCTTTTTCATAGTAATTCTGCTACCTAGAGAATATACCAACTGGCTCAAAATAATGTAAAATCAGAAATTGAATTCAAATTATATAATAAACATAAACATTGGTCAATTTAGCAAATTCCTTGTCTAAAATATTTCTTTTTGTATTTACATAATAAAATCTGAACATGTTCTGTTAAAGTTCTAGAATAATAATAAGTAAAATTGTTTTTAAATTGTATATAATTGCTCATTAGGGCTCCAGTCATAGTAAATGAAGGAAAAAGAGTTAAGAAATGTGGCTGGAAAAGAAAAGTGTTTTAAGTATCTGTCACAACTTACTAAATTAATATATAATTATAACTTTAATCTAACTGGTTAGTATTTTTTTTTATCCATGATAACTGGGAAAGGATTTGAGTGATAAAATGGAAACATGGTAGATGTTACCTAGCATGTTGTGGTAAAGTGGAATGGCCCGTCCATGGGTAGTAAATGCAGTCATGACTAGTGGGACCGTTACACCTGCAGGCAATTACAGAACAGAAAACATCATTCTCCATCCACAGTGACATGCACACACATGCACCAGTGCTCACACATGGAGCCTCGGAGAAAGAACATGGGAAGCAAGCACACCAAGTACCTATCCATCAGGCCGATGCAGTCTTCAATACTTGAGCCTATGCACCTGCAGAAGATGCGAATTAAAAAAATACAAGGAAAGAAAAATTAGTCATTTTCAAAAACAATCAGATAAGTACTGACTGTGTCAAATTCTTAATTTCAATTATCACATAATTTTTGAAACATGACTTTAAAGCCAGCAAAAAGAGAATTCCTCGATGGATATACAGTGTGAATTGCCAGAATCACCTAAGTAGAATGGCAAGGAAATATGGGCAGAGTAAAGGAATTTTTACCCTGGTTCTATGTTTAACTTCCAAACATACTTCAATTCATTTGCATCATTTATGATTATATGTCTTGGTGAATAACTTTATATTTCAATCACTATAATTGTTTTCATGTATATGAGTTATTCTAAACAGCCTTAAGTGTAAGTAAAAATCAATAAAAAAGGAAACATGAGAAATTCAATACACTATAATAACCTCAGGTTTGATGATCATTAAAGATTGATTTTGGCAGAAAATGAGTTAATATGCTTTAATGTTATTCCTATGGATACTTTACATAATCGGATTATTTCAATTCTTTGTTGTGACTGTTTTTAAGAACATATTTATCTTTAAATATTAATTTATTCAAAAGTGTAAACTGAATTCATCATGCTGTAGTTTATTTTGATGATTTCTTTTAAAATAGCAGTGCCATAACATACAAATAAATATAGGATTTTTAAAAAGCATTTTTGGCCCTAATATTGAATGGAAACAATAACAAATAAATAAGAAACACCATTAAGTACATGAATAAACTCAGACCCAGGTAACTAAAGAACCCACTGATTTGAACATTTAAATAAACACATGTAAGTGCACAGAATTCTAATACACAGTCCCTAGAACTTCATTTTAAGCTACTATAGAAATATTATTTCTTCCATCTTCCAATGACTTGAATTGCTCTTATTTTCTTTTTCCCATCAAAGATGAATAGCTCCAGGAAATTATTAAGATTATACCTACAGGTATTTGATTTGTAACAAAGAATTTGTATTCATATGAAAATATATATATATGTATATATATATATATTTGTGTATATATATTTATATTATAGATAGATATAGATATTCTAAACTTTTAATTTTCAAAGCTGAAAAAGTACCTGGAGCTAAAATCATTATAAAATGATCTAAAAAGTTGCCAATATACAAGGCTAGATCATGCATAGTATCTTTAGATGACTCCAACATTAGTGAATTCATAAAACTTACCTAAAATAATTATTAAGTCACTGTCTTTCTGCTTCATCATTATGTGTTACAATATTTCTACTGGCTATAAAATTGATTTCCTTGCATTTTTGCTTTGTGGATTTGTTTTAAGCAGCAAAGAATGACAAATTTTAGCTTTTATAAATTTTGGAAATATACCTGTGACAAAAGTCTTTAAAACACAAACCAATAGTAAATAACTAGGTGCATATCATTGAATTGGTAATATATGTAGTCCATAATCAAAAACCACTTATAAAAATTAAAAATTAACTGCTAAAACCATCTTTCAAATGATCTCATGTCTTTCTCTTATTCTATTCTGAAGAACTTATTTTTCTAAGTTCCTATTATATCTTCTTCAAAATGCTTTTTGAATACAGTATTGCCATTTTGTAAAATTAATAGTCTACTTCTTATTTCCAAGTGAGAATCTCAAAAGCTATGGTTAGTTTGCAATCTTTATAATAACACTTGAAAGATAAAAATATTCAATAGTGAAATTCAACTTGAGGGGAAAATGTGAATAATGAAAGATCTTCACTCATTCAAGAAGCCCATTATTACATGCCTACTAAAGTGTTCCCACTCTTTTAGGAGCTGCAGGGAGAGAAAAGATGAATTAGACACTTCTATTTTCATTGAGCTCACAATTTACTGAAGGAAGTAGATGCATAAACAGCTGTGTATTGTATGATATAATAAGTGTAATAAGACATGTAAAAAAAAGAGTAGTTTAAAGGAGGACACAAGAGGAACACCTTGTGCCACTCTGGAGGGTGGTAGTCACACTCTGGGATGGATCAGTAGCTTAGGGCACTGAGGAGTGGGGTAAGCATGGCATGAGTTTTAAGGAGTGATAAAAGAAGGAACCACAAACAAATTCGAATAGTTACGGAACAAATCATGAAGCAACAGAGATAAGAGAAAGAGCCAGACTTAGAAGACTATGTTTTAAAAAATGGAATGGTAAATTATTGTATGGTTTTAAAGAAATTGTGAAATTGCTAGACTTGTATTTTAAATAGATGTTTTTGCTACGTGGAGGCTATTCAGCTGGGGTCTTGTTCAACATGGAACAAGTTTTAGGCCACGTAAGTAATGAGGGACTAAACTACCAAAATGATCACTAAGGATACAGGCAAAGGGCACAAGAAATGCCTTCAAAGGTATGGGATGGGGAGGAGTTGGTGGCTGATTAAAGATGCAAGTGAAAAGACCAAAGGACTTTGGGATGGCTTATGTTTCTAGCTTGCAGAATAGAGACAGCACCCTGAGAGAATCCAGGAGGATTTTCTCTGTTTGTGTTTAAGGAAGAAAAGGAGGGGTTGAAGCTTTCAATCTAGAGTTTAGTGCCGTTATCCTACATCTAGGTGGAAATGTTCCTCATCAGATGGAAAGGCTAGTCTGGGTTAAAGGGGGAACCACACACATAGCATAGTCAGTTTTGAAACAATTGCAGTAGACAGGTAGGCTGAAGAGGAATACATAATGTGAGAAAAGCAGAAACGAAAGATTAAGACTCAAGGAACTCCAGTGGCATATAACATCAAACAGTGGCTTGTGCCCAAAGCATGTGGAAATATAATTGAGTAAAATTAATTAACTGTGGTGTCTTTGAAACCAAATCAGAAAAGAACCTTGCGAAGAAAAGGAAGATCATCAGTGTCAAATGCAGAGAAATCTAGTAAATTAAAAATTACTAAAATAATTTTGTCATTGTTAAGTCTCTAGAATTGTTCTTCTTATAAGTTGAGAAGAAAATTGGAGATGGGGCAATAGATACAAAAATAAGTGGAAGAGAGGGAATAAGGGACACGTTTTAGTTCAAGAAGTTTGAGGAGACTGATTAGGATATTTGTGATTTAATTGCATTTATAAACCAAGGATAAAAGCAACAAATGAAACACTAAGAAGAGTGAGGCTATGATTGATTGAAACCACACTTTCCAGGTATAAGCCACTGTGTATTTAAAGATGTATGTAGTATTTCAATTCCTGCACTTCCTCGCTATAAGCCTCAGAAACTACATTTATTCAGCAAAAATCATAGAACAAGAGAAACATTAAACTCTAAACAGTCAAAATGAAAAGTAAGAGACAAAAATAGAATATGGAACAACTAAAGAACTAATGTTCCAAATTAGAATGTTTTCAGAAAGATCAGAAAAGAAATCCAAACACACCTAACATATTCCAAAACTACATCTGGAATTCTGATGATTGATATGTGGTTGATATTATTTGTTACTTAATAATGTATAAATCTTGATATATTCATATAACAAATACAATTTAGATATTTTGGGGAAAAATCTCCAAATTTTGAAATGAAAATTACAGCACATTTTTAAATTTTATAATTTGAAGATATAGACAACAATTCCACAAGCAGGTCTTCTTTTCTTCTCTCCATCAATACATTTTTTATTATAAAATTTTAAATTATAAAAAGAATTGATAAAAAGAGGTTAAAGTACATGTGAAATCATGATTCTAAGATTAACAAAAATTCAATGAGCGTTTTAAAAGATGTCCCATGAAATAAACTCTAATCCATGTCTCAAATACAGGTTTGATTTGAAATAAGACTAAAATGAAATCAACATCCATTGAAAAGGGTTGAAGTAATGTTACTAAAGAAATTACAATCCCTGAACTCACTGCCAACTAATAATAATAAATCTATTTTACAAGCTATCTTTTAAAATTCAAATTAGTTGCTAATTAACAAATAGGCACAACATTTCTCAGTTTCAAATTCTTGGTTATCATTTCAAAATATAGTAGAGAAGGGTCTGGTCTTCAATTGAGTAAAGAGTATACATTCACTGTACTGTGAGTACATAGATTTCAAGATCTTCATCTTCTTCATTTCTGAACTTGCCTATCACTGAGACAGAGCAAGTATACAACATAACGAAGTCAAAGAATGAATAAAATAAGAACACAGTGCTAAAAAGTGTCCTCTAGGCATGGCAAGAAGAGACGTGTTTTTGTTGTTGTTGTTGTTGTTGCTCTTGTTGTTGTTTAGTTGGTTGTCTTTTTGTATTTTCCCCTTTCCTTTAGGGATTCTGGTGATAATTTCCTGATAGAGGCTAAATGGATAATCTATTTTAAACATATCTGAGGACCTTATTAGAGCCAATATGTTTAATGTACTTTTACAGTAGTAAAAGTGCTTTTAAGGTATTACATAGGTAATTTTATTTTCAGAAAAATCATTAAACAGTATTCAAAGTAAGAACTTTACTTCTAAAAAAATGTAATTGGAAAGACCATTTCCATTAACTTGGTTCTTGAATTACCTGACATAATATTGGCATATAAAAGAAAAGCAGCTTTCCAAAGTGGAGCTGGCCTGGTGAGCTCACACCTACAGATAGGTCATCTCTTACATGTGTTTAGGAATGAAAATAGTCACTCATCCTATCAACCCCACTGCTGCTGGGATCTTTTGATAGACAGATGATACCTCTATATGCTCATGTTCAATTTGGAGATAAGGGGAACTCAGTCTCAGGGGAACTCCTAAATTTTGGTCTGAGGCACAACAAAATAACTTGTTCTGGGAATCACAGCATTTATGAAATGAATAAACTTGAACAATATAGAGGCAATTACAAAAAGGATAGTAGGAAGCTAAATAAAAACAATTAAAATTTCTCAGGACCAAGTCAGTCATTAGAGAAATACATTTACCTTAAAAGATGATGGGGAGTACAATATTTGGATTCTGTGTCACTATGATTATGCAGCCGTGAGTTGCTGAGGGCATCCTCTTTCTATTTATCAGAGTTCCCAAATGATCTGGTGAGATTTGTTCCTTATTACACCTTCATATTCCCTTTTTGCTGAGATCCAAATTTTGCTGCTATGGTAATTTGATCGTTTTCTATTGCTCCCTACTTCTGTTTTCCTCCACTATGTATGATTTCCTTTATTATATAATCGTGATTTAAAAGGGTGGAGAGGAAGACACACCAGCCACACATCCAGACTATGGCTCTGTGATCTCTACTTTCATTTCCCTAATGGCTGCATTGTAATTAGATTTGCAAAAACCGCAAAAGGTCTCATTTTGAATGGCAACAGCTGTTGACATCAACATTATATTGAATAATTTACTGGTTTAATTTTAGCTGCAAAACAATAAAACCCTCTTGTGGATGATTTTAGCAGGCAAACTTTTCTCTTCCAGTTGCTGACTCTTCTGCTCCAGCAGTACCAGTTTTTTTTTTTTTTAATGAAATACTCTTAACTCAGGTGTGCCAAAAACCCACAAGCAGAACAGTTTATTACTTCTAGTTTCCTTGAAGCAAAATGTCTATGTGACTATTTCAGCATCCTCAATGTACTTGCTTATGTATAAACCAATGAGTTGGTAGTTAGCTCTTCCAAACTGAATTTAAATTTGAATGGCAGAATATTACTTTACCTTTTGAGGATCTGCCACTTCACAGAGTGACTTAAGCTGATTTCTTGACCTGTAGGAAATTGTAGCAGCATCTGGAAATTGATGTTTTCTTGGCAGAAAATGATGTTGCTTGCTTAACTTCTTCAATATCCTCTAACAGCTAGGCCTTAATCTGGCAGAAAATCTTTTTATGGAACTTCACACTTTCCTCCCAGATAGAAAGTACGCAAGATGACTCTCAGCAAGTGTGTGTGTGTGAGTGTTTGTGTGTGAGTGTGTGCGCGCACACACACAGCCTTCTGGACATTCACAATGGAGAAGAGGGTTTATGGACAGGAGGAGGATAGAGTATGTGAAATTGCTCTCAATTCTAACATTATGCACTTTCTGGAGGGGAAAAAAAAAGAAAAATCCTTACTAAGGTAAATTTGAAAACATAGTTTTGGGATTTTCAAGATGAGTGATGTTACTTCTTTTATAGTGTTCTTTCTCTAATGTGTTTTTGTTATTCCACTGCTACCCATATCACAGGCAATCTGATCATTATACATTGCACAATACAACCTTTTGAAACAGAAAAATGTGTAACCATCTTCAAATTATCCTATTATAGTCAAAGAAATTTTAGGTTATAGGATAACAAACAACAGAATTACTTGTACAAAATATTCTGGTTATTTTATTAATATTCATATCACTAGGTCTCCTTTTTTTCTGCCATTACTACCTTTGCTTGGATTTTATTGAAGGAGTTATCCAAGGTAGTATTTATCAAAGAGAGATATCCTCACTTTAAGCTATGACAACAAAGAAACAGAAAACCTGATAAAGATTTACTAAATATAAATCTCAGAAATATGATTATTAACTTATCTTTTCTGAATCTTGAATCTACAGTTAAAATTGAAGGAATTTCTATACCATATCCAAACTATACTCAACACTACTTTCCTGGCCTGAATGTGTGAATAAAATGGTTGTAGGTAAATGTTAAGCAGAAATATTTCTGAGGGCACAAACAACTTTGACTCTTTTAGAAAGGAACTCTCTAAAGACAAACAGAGTTTTATGATAACATTCTGAGTTTAGGAGACTGTATCAGGAATAGAGATGCATGAGGGCACCTGCTGACTAGTAACACGTACAAGTTGGAGCCCTTGACTGGCAAGGATGCTTACCCTTGGGTGCAGTTTGGATGGCATGGGTGGCACTCCCGATCCTGATCCGCATACTTGAAAATGAAACTGTTTGCCCCCTGTAAGCCATCTGGACATTTCTCTACACAGTTTGGACCATCCTTAAAGTGAGAACATTTTGTACAGTTGTCAGGTCCCTAGAGTGTGAAAAGAGGAAAAAGAATACAAAGAAAAATGGGTGCCTTTTCATTGAAACATAAGCATGTGGTTTATTTACTAAGACTTCATTTGGTGGCAAATAACTTTTCCTCTAGAGAGAACATATTCAGCAGAACAAATAGAAAAGTAGCTCTTGTAGTATAAATGCAATAAGAGAGGTTCGAGTTCAGTTTTGATACGGTGTGTGAGGGGGAAATATGATAGGCACATACATATGCTTGAAATATTTGCACTTTTTTAACCCACTAGTCCCTGGGTTAATGGATTTCCATGGAATGCCTCTAGTGTGAATTAATTAGAACAGCAAAATGGTTCAATGACTTTTTTCAAAAGGATGTCAGTGTTTTATTCTTGTGATCCATTCCTAGTCATATTATATTGCAACAATATTTTATAATAACCCATTTTCCATGGGGGTAATTCATCACCATCACTAAAAACAAGTGAATGGGCTTACTAAATAGTTAGATAAAACAGAAATTAGGAAACACTGATTTACATAGAAGAGTGAAATGTAGACTGACTTTTGGTTGTAGAAGGACTTCATTTGAAAATTAAATCTTAAAATTTATTATGATGGAATTACTAAAAATTAGGTAGGTTAGGCATATAAAAGTAATTTTTAGGTCATTCCTCATCTCAGATCAGTTCGTGCTAAGGCCAAAACTCAAATTAAGTCTACTTATACATATTTTAGTAAATCACAGAACAATATTGAAAGTTTGAGAGTCATAACAATGTATATTTTGATGAGTTAATGTCAAAAATTAAATTATAAATAGCAGATAGAAAAACAAAACTGTATGTGAACAGTGTTTTTTTCCAAGGATGAAGATAATATGAGTGTGAAAATTTAAGTAGAATTAACTCATTTTATATATTTATTTATAATATACATTAATGAATAATATCAGATTAGTAAACAATAATAAAAAGATTTGAAGATCAACATAATTAACATTTAAAAATTAATGTTAGACATCTAAGAATTTGTGGATCAATTAAAAAAATTTTATCTCATATAGTGGATAATAAACACATAAAAATAATAATTAGTTTAATTTTAGATCAAAGATAATTGAGAACATTTCAATTTAAAAATGTTATTTTTTCATAAGAAATACCTATAATTTTGCACGTGTACATATTTTGAATATTACTACTTGAAATTTAATTTTAATCCTCCTTTTTAAAAATCATATTGTCTTAAGATTATAAGATAATAGAATCTCTTTGACCACTCCTCCCCGGAACTTCTCCCCTCAATTATTCTCCCCAACATCTGTCTATATCTAAAGAAGAGGACAACAATTTTGATAGCTCACACCGAAGACAACGCACATGAACAGAATACAATAACTACCAAGGAGACAATTATATCAGTATCGTAGTTACAAACTATGAATTTGGAAGTCAAAATATAAACACAATATTGTGCAGGAGTGTTTATTTAGGAGATACCGTAGAGATGAAGTCTGTTCATGGGAGTGTTATGCCACCTCCACAAACATTAACCAAAAAGAAGTCAGAATTTGCCAGTTGCTGATATAATGCACCAGGAGAATAAGATATATAAGACAAAAATTTAAAGATGGAGATTGCTAATGAAGAATCATAGTATGTTAATGAAGAAAAAGCAATCAGGCAAAGGCTGGGAAATTTTGAGACTGGTGAGGGTTAATAAAGCAGCTATTTCACTATTTTGATGTGATGTTCAGAGCTTAAAAATAAATAAATAAATGAGAACAATTGGCCTATGAAACCTAATTCCTATTCTACCTAAAGAGTTTGCTAATGTTAAGTTTTTATTTCCTCCTCAAAAAGAACACTTTACACCCTTCCAATTTTAATAGCTGCTCATGGGTACTTAGGCACATAATACCATCTATTATAGGGAATGGTTTACTGTGCAAGTATGCTCAGTGGCATGACTTATGGTACAAGAAACATGCTTGTTGCAAAACACAGAATAAAACTTTCTATGAGTAAATTAGACAGTTTTAGTCTGAATTAGGAATCAGGAATCATTTCTCTATTAAGTTCTTATAATGTAAAATAATATCCAGACAATATCAGAAGATGTAAAAAAATACATGGAAATCAAAATTAAGTTCTTATTTAATATTCAAGATTATTTTACTGAAGTAAATTATATTTTGTTCTTTGTTCTTTAAGCATCTCAACTATTTGATTATTTTATTATGATAGAAAACAAAATGTCTTAAGTTGAGATAACTAAAAAAACTATTCTAACAAATCTCAAAAGAAATTAAATATACTAATTTCCCATTTTATTTCCATAGTAAAAGACTCAAAAATATACATACATATGATGTTTACTCTTCTATCTTTGTATTTCCAAAAATTTTTAAAAACTAGGTGTAGAGAATGAATGTATAAATGCAATAATAGAAAATGAAGGTGATATATTTAATTCCTGATTGTAAGCTACCTCTGGACACAGTAATATATTAGACAACTAAATATCAGGCCAAATCCTGATAGAAATATTGCATTTTATTCTCAGGATTATTTTCTCTGATAGCTCTACTTGGAGCCACATATGAATATGCTAAGTCCCTTCTTAATAGAGATAAGGTACAGCTTACTTTGGACAGGGAGTTGTATGTAGAATTCACATGAATTTGAATTGATATGCTAAACTCTCCAGCCTTCTCGCTCCTGGATGCCATGACTCAGGGACCCCATGTTGAATAGGAGTATCTTGAGTTCAAAGCCTGCTACAATGCTAGGCCACTACAGGGAGGGGGCTGCTTCTGAATAGTTAAAAGATTATCCATGTACCCTATGTGAAAGGGCCAACGTATTTTCTGAGAGCTACTGCAACATTAGGGCTGCATATTGTGTCAGCACAACCTTTTAAAAAAATCTAGCTTTAAGAGCCACTCTAGCTTTTATATAAAAGAAACATGTATTTTGAAAATCAGTTCCATTCCCTTCTCCTTTCTCTTCCATTGCTGCCCCTCTGGGCAACATTTTGGTCTCTTGAAACTTTGTCTGATTTTCCTAACTTTTCTTTCTTCTCTCACTCCTTCTCTTACCTTTCTTAACAGAACTATACAGAAATAGTGAAAGTAACACAGAATGGGGGAAATTTTGAAAATAAATCAACTAAATTAAATAATGAAGATCAACAGCAGACAGATAAAGATATAAAAGCAAAGGACATCTTTGATTTCAAATTTATTTCTCTCACAATGATCCTAGATTCCTGTCATAATTAGGCAGGATAATACTATCCCGTTTAACATAAAACTGGCATATTCCCAGAAAGCATATTCTTCTTATCATACTAAAGACATTGTTGCCTGAAAAAAAATAATAATAAAGTAAAATGATAAGTGCAAGAAACTTGGGGTCAGATCTTCTATAGCTGAGTTGCATCTCCTCATCCTCCTGAGAGTCTGTCTTTTGGAGAAACTTTCTATCATTATAAGTTCAATTTCTTTTCATTTTAAATGAAGAAGGTTATAGCATGCTTCAGATTAACAGTGTTTTATAAATATAAATGTACATTACATAGATTATTATCATTAGGGAAATATTGACAAGTCAAAGAAATATGATTTCACCAGAATAAACCGTAAGGGCAGGAGTGAGATTTCCAAACAGCGTTTATGACTTCCTCTATCAGTGTCAGTCTCATGGAGAAGCCTCCAGAAACTGCTGGATAACCCAAGTGATATGTGTCTGTTATTTAGCACACAAAACCATCTCTGTCACCAGTTGTGAAATCAACATGTGGACTCAGAAATAGACAAAAACCTTATATGAATTGTAAAGGCTGAAAGCAAGCAAATCCCCATCCTAAGTAGGCACAAAATTTGGACCACTGCTTGAGCTCAGCCATTGCAATTTTTCTAAAAAGTACTGTGCTAATAACTGCAAGGCTTACTGATCTCAGACTGTCTTGATTAAGTGCTCTTATCCTCCACAGATGCCTCATCTAGCCTTCCTGAACTTTCTATTTTTTTTTTTGATGGATCACCTTCTCTTATCTTTTGATATGTCAATTCATAATTTTAGTATTAAATAGTAATATTAATTATCTGGCCCAACAAATGCTGCCATTATGGAAAAAAAAATGTGTTCGTTATAAGACTATTTTCACTCCCTCCTATCAAGTGATTTATGACAATTCAAAGAGCATTAATTTGAGGTTATCTTAATGTTTATATTTATAAACTGTCAAAATTCCATTGGAGAATAAATAAACAACAAACTGTAAAAACCTAAAAAATAAGATAAATTAATAAAGCGGTTCTTCACAAAATATAATTTGGTATAACAGGAGGCAGCATGAGGATCAGTAAAAGCATGGGACAGTCAAACGCCCTAAGGTGGGAGGCTACAATTGTGATCCATACATTTACTATAATGGACAATTCATTTAACAGTTCTGAGATTATTCATTGGCAAAATGGGAACAATATCTAAATGAAAATGAAAAAAATGTCTGTGAAAATACTCTACAAAAGAACTAGCTCACAAAGAGCACTCAACTTTAAGTCATGGATATGAATATTATTTATTTATTTAGGTATCTGGGATTGGACCCAGGGACACTTAACAAATGAGCAACATTGCCAGTTCTATATATATATATATATTTTTTCTTTTGAGACAGGGTCTTACCAAGGTGTTTAGGGCCTCTCTGAATTGTTGAGGCTGGCTCTGAACTTGTGATCATATTGCATCAGCCTCCTGTGTGGCTGGGATTATAGGTATGCACCACAACACTCAGCATAAATATCATTTATAACGATCATAATGATTTTGACTTATGATTAATAGATAAAATGGTCATAAAATTTTCCAATACTTGAAAACTAGTATAGTCATATTATGGAGCAGATTATTATAGAGATTTATACAGGGAAAATTCCCTATGAAATTACTCTAGAAAATATAAGGTATACTTTTTACTATGCTTGCATTACTTCTAAGCAAATTAGTTTTCTGTCTATGGAATTAGGTGGACTAAAAATACTAGTTACTAGGAATGAGTGATTTTTTTTTAAAGGTAAAAATTACAAGGAAGGTAAAAATATCATGTTTTCAATAAACAGAATGCAATATATGCAAAAAAGCCTAATGTGAGAATAATATATTTAAATATGCAAATAATGCCTCTGTTGATGTTGGAGAAATATTTTTGCACATTAATATTTAGTTTGTTAGTATGTAAAAACTCATAATTGTTGTGCTAATGGAACCTGATACAAAGTAGTTCTTAAACAGTATTTGTTGACTAAATGAACAAATGTTTCTTAGAGTTTTCTTTTTCAGAATTAAAAGGATAAAGGAAAGGAAAACAAAATTATGTGTCAAGAAAAAGGTTCAGTTAGACAATAGTACTAATAAATCCATAGGAAATATTAGTGTAATGAAGTAGCATCCATAAGGATTCACAAATAAAATAACAGATAGTTTTGCCGTTGCTCATAACTTTTTTAAAAAGGTGTTTGCTAATCCAGAGTCATTGGATCATCCCCAGCCTTGATTAGAGGACATGGATAAATCCCTGATCATTTTGACTGTTTATTTTCAAAGTTTCAGAGTCTCTGAAGAGACTGTTTTCATTTTATGAATTATTATCTAGAACTTACCTAAATATATTGGAGTTCAAAGAACAAATATTGATAACTCAACTTGTTTTAGTAAATTTTTACAGAAATTTACTTCCTTATGTCTCATGACATTCCCTAAGGAATTCACATTTCTCACGCTGTGGATTGACTATATTTCCATGCCTGTTCATGGTGGAGAAGGAAAATAGCTGCATGTGCCCTTTACGTACTTACATGGAAATCATTACATATTAAATTGCCTTTTAGACTTTGGTTCTTCAAGCCAAATAACATCACTTCTTTCTCTCAGGGATCTGATTTTCCAAGTTTAATCATCCTGTAGTAGTCCTCTGAACTGTCCACGTTTTCCATATCCTTCTTTAGATGAACTTCCAGAACAGGTCATTGGGGCCTAATGGAAGTGTGGAGGGCTCAGTGATATTTTCTTTTCCTAAGCTAATTGTGTGCTAAATAAGCACTCTGGTAGAAAAATTAATACTTTTTAATTTTAAATAAATTATTATGGAGCAATGTTGAGCTTTTAGTTATACCCAAATTATTTGGTCCCCAAATTATCTACTGAGAGATGATTCAATAACAGATAAACTGGAAATTTTTCTAAAGAAGGATGAATATGACACTTTGAGATGACAAACTCATACTGATCTTATTATTAAGGAAAAGCCCAAAAGATAACTTCAAATTATATAAATGGCACCTCATCCATGAAGACTTTCCTGATCCTATAGCTTCTCCTTGCATTCTCATAGCTCAGTTCTTCTCTCTGCCATATTGTTTATCATAATGCTTTTATTCTTTCTTCTTTTTACTATCCTTCTCACTGCCATAATAGACAAGTGGGTAAATATAGAAATGAATGTGTTATACTTTTTCCCGAACACAATGTGAACAATCACATTTAAAAATCTCTCCATTTCCTTCTTACAAATTTTTCTTCAAAGCATGGGTCAAACACCACTTCACTAGCACCTTCCTTGAAGTTCCCAACATCTAGCCCAATGATATAATTCGTTTCTCATCTTCCTATAACTCACAACTGTTTATATTACATCAATGATTAAACTTCTAGCAAATTCTCATGCAGCATTCTTCTCAACAACGTGCCATTTTCGAAGACAACTTCATGGATATACGTCTGTTTAGATACATTATCAGGAGGATAAATATTGATACCATTGGATTTTCAAATATTTTATCTCACATTTTATCTTCCTACAAAACTCTAAGCCTCTCAAAGGTGAGCTATTAAACATGTTCCCCCATTGCATCCTATAGATACCTACTGAATGGATGGATAAACGATAAGACAATGATAGAACGAACATTCACACATGATACTACACAGCCAGCACACCCACAACACCTCCAGGCTTACCGGTCCATGGCATGTGAGGAGGCCATCTTCCATCTTCTCACACTGGGAGTCACACTCCACGCAGATGGAGCCATTCTCGAACTCCCGAAATTCACTGTGAAAATATCAGCTGCATGAGGAGGTGTAAGCAAACAAGCTGTCAACTTAAAAAATGAACTAACATCTGCTAAAAGTCCTATTGGCAGAGTAAATTCTTGAGTTTGTTTCTCTATGTGCCAGGAGCATCAGAAACATTTCCCTGTACATTAAGGACTAAGTTCTCCATTAGGAGAAAAGATAAACTGCAGCCAGATGGCTCTCCTTGTCCTCTATTGGATTCAATGAAAGACTCATTCTGGAAACCTCTCCTGTGAGAGAGATTCTAGCCCTCTCAAAAGAAAAAAAAAAAAAAAAAGTAACTCTTCTGATGACACAGCAAAACGCTTTCTACCTTTTTAGATAAGGGTATGCCTGTTTGTATCCATATAAAAGTTTACTCTTGGATGAAGCTTTAATTTCTAAACTTTGAAAGAACTATTGTATTTTTCTTGTTGCTAAGTTACATGAAATGTTCCCCATCCTTGTCCTTCAAATCCCAAGAGTCTTCAATTTATTTTTGGTGAAACTTCAAAAAACGCTTTGATTTCTTTTCTCCTTTCAAAATATCTGCCTTAGAGAATTAGAAAAAAATATCTTTTATGGTGGATTTTATTTTCTTAGATTATTGATCTAATATCACAACATTTTTTTCAATCTCAATTCTTTTTGAAGTAATTCTTTATGATATAAAATTTTTAAAAATAGTTTAATGGCTAAATCCTAAAACTTTCTAATTGAAATCTATCGGGATGATGGTCATCCTTCCTGCATTTATAATTTTTTTGGACTATTTGTGTATTATATGGTTATCAATACCTAAATTTTCCAAAGTCCCTTCTAAATGTTTCATTTCCATAATTGGGTATCAGTCGTCTATAATATGTTCCAACTACCTCTTTCCTACTAATGTACAAGAGGTTGAAGAACTGGGTAAGGACAATTTTGAATGTTATTTAGAGTAATTAACAAAATTTGACTAATATGTGTAGCCAATTTATTGATTATTTCAAGTCTTTTTTTCCTGACCTACCATTCCAAACCACCAATTGATTAGGTGACAAATTCAAACATATTATTCCTAGAGTGATGAATTATTTTTCCCAATTGCATACTTAAAGCCTTCATAAATAACAGAAGTCCAAAGGTTGAACAATGTTTTCTGTTGGTTATATTACAACTCTATCTATTCCAAGGCTGAATAATTAGTTTGGCTTTCAAAATGAATAGCATAAATAGGTGGTTTAATTATGTGTGTACATAGGCAGTTACATGCTTTTTGCATTTTAAGTATGAGATATTAGTTTGTTATAGATCAACCTTTTATGAATTTTCTTAAATTTAAACTCTTAATTATAAAAACAAGTTTTCTTTTATATGCTTCATCAACAGGAGTGATATAAAGTATTCAACAGAGGACACATTCAGAATACAAAGATCCATATGACCTGGTATGGGGGAGTGGTTAAACTGTAAAGAAGATGAAAAACACTGTATGGTAAAATTTTATGACGGCTCAAAGCCAGGGACCAGCTAATTACTGGTTTTGGATAATCATTTCTTTGGAAATGAAATGGTTATGAAGCACATTATTTTTGTGCTACTCAAACGGAGGCCATACTTTTCTTACTCTTCTACTCCAAAACCCACTTGTCCACACAGAGAGGTGAAGAGGAAGATGTAGGTCAGAAAAATCATGGAGACAACCTGTTGCTTTTTCTTCCACAGACTTAAAATTGTGTGGCTCTCTTTCTTTCTACCTTCCTAAAGGATCTTACCCTTTACTGTTGCCACCATTGCTCTTTTCCTTCCCTGCCCCCTAGTGACTTTACTGTGATTTTGCCAGAGTTCCCCTTCCACCTGAATTTGACCTAACAAATTAGTCTGTTGAGCATGAACCTTGCGTGCTAAGTTTGTTTCACTTGTTTTTGCTGTAATACTTGTGTGTTAGCTCAACCGATTCTTTAATCACAAGTGAATGCTAGTCTTCCAAAACTAAAACCCACAATTAACAGTGATATTTCTAGGACTTAAATACTTCAACTTTTCTAAGTTTAATTTCCTAAATATCCTCTGGAAAGGAGAAACATATTGTTTCAATGAGGGGTTGTGATTTTTAAAAATAAAAATGCCTGCAAAGATTTTTAGACTGGTACAATCGTTAATGCTTCTGTGTTTATCTGAAGGTTTCAGAAGAGTTGACAGAAAGGTTTTAATTTAATTTAATTTTTTTTTTTACTTTTTTTGGTAAGAGGGATTGAACCCAAGGGCATTTTACCACTGAGCTATCTCCCCAGGATTTTTATTTTTTAATTTTGACACAGGGACTTGTAAGTTGCTGAGGGTCTTCCTAAATGAGCAAGGCTGGCCTTGAATTTGCAATCCTCCTGCTTCACCCTCCTGAGTTGCTGGGATAACAGGTGTGTGCCCCTGTGTCCAGGTAGGCAGGAAAATTTTAGGTACCATTGCAATTATCTTTTTCTTTCATTCTAAATTGATTATGCATTGTAGTTAAGAAATACAGAAATATAGTGAGTTATATGACCCATATTTGAATGCTAATCAGCCAGGAATTGATTATTTTTTCTTTCTCCCTTCAAAAAAAATTCTCTTTTGAGGATTTGTTCTCTTCTAATACACACACAGACACACATGCACACACTGCATGTGTGTGCATTCGTGTGTGTGTGTGTGTGTGTGTGTGTGCTCTCCCCATAATTTTGGTAAATGTGAATTGCATTTGATTATTTTCAGCAGTTTTTAACATGACTATTTCACTGAACCATTTAAACAGCTCAGAATAATAGACACAAAAGGAAATTATGATAATAATTTCTATTGCTGGAACTTAAGACCTTATTCCATTATTATTCCTATTTTTCATATAAGAAAACAAGTTTAGCCAAGTACAATAGTGAGTGCTTGTAGTCCCAGCTACTTTGGAGTCTGAGCAGGGGGATCACTTGAGACCAGGAGTTCAAGACCATCCTGTATAACAAAATGAGACCCCATTTCAAAAAGGAAGTGAGGAGGGAGGGAAGAAGGAAACAAATCCAAGTTTAGAATGACTAGGGTGTTTGTCAAAGGTTGAACATTTCAATTAGGAAGTAATGAAGTTAAGATTTGAATTCATTCTTCCTCAAAGACCTTAACTACCCAGGCAACCACGCAATGTTGACAGAAACTAGCCAATGTCACAAGATGGGAAGAGGGAATCCTTCATTGGACAGCCAAGATTTGAATTAATGTAAATATGAAAATTAAATTGATGTAAATATGAAAAATGTTAAATATCAAAATCGATCTCTTCATCAATGTTTAGAGACCCTGTATTTTTTATTTCTTATTTGTTTTCCATTTACTGTTTTGTAGAATGTAGCAAATTTATATATATTATATTATATATATATATATTATATTGTGTGTATGTTTATATATACATACACATACATAAGCACATATTTATAAATTTAATATTTCTGACAAGGTTGAAATTGAAATATGTAAGAAAAACAGCATCATTCTGGAAAGAAAACAGGATAAATCAGGTGCTACTAGTTCTAGCGCTATCTTTGTTCTTCTACAGTGTTATGATTTTAGTAAGTAGTTAATTATACTGTTCCTCATTATTTATAAGATTGTTCTATAGGATAAAATGATTTCTAGAATATATTTCCTGCTTAGAACTACACATATAAATTTAATAAACACTTTAATATAACATTCACTTAGTGGAACTAATGCCTTTATGAGTCATTTTAGAGACACCAACTGCTGTACAAACAGGTATATTTCATCCAAGGTATTTTATGTACAGAAAATACATTTTCATAACAATCTTTATAAGCATGAACACAATTCAATGAGACAAGTAGCACATACTTTTCAATTCACTTTCAAATTCACCAGGTTATTGTACCTCACAAAATTACAAGCTGAAATTTTCCTGAAAAATAATTACATTCTTGGACTGGGGTTGTGGCTTAGTGGAAGAGGGCTTGCCTAGCACACGTAAGACACTGGGTTCTACCCTCAGCACCACATAAAAATAAATAAACAAAATAAAGATATTGTGTCCATCTATAACTAAAAAAATTAAAAATAATTATGTTCTTATGTAATTGTTTTTTAAAAATATAAGTTATTTATATTTAAAATTCTAAGCTTTATCTTTTTCTTCTAAATTTTGTGAAGTGAATATGCTTGGGTCATCTTTCAAAGAAGAAGCATACCAATATCATTATAATAATGTTATGATAAATAGAGTTTTATCCTGTTGATACACAAGGCAAAACTATAGTGTTATCAGGTACCATGAAAATAGTTGTTAAAATGAGATCATTCATGAGGCACAAGAAGAAATGAAGAGCTTCAAAGCTGTATTTTACAAAACTGTTGAAAACATTTTCATTTGAAGAATACGGGGAAACTTGACGTAGAGAGTGCTAAGAAATGCATTACCACACCGATGAAGGACAACTATGATGCATAAAATGGTATATTATGATAAAGTGGTTTTATGAGTGTATGAAATGCCAGGCAATGTAGTATATACTAGGGTTTTATTACTAGTAATGTGATTATTGCACTACCAGAATGAATTGAAAATACTCAGTTTAAAATGTTGCTCAAGTTTTCTAGAGAGTGGCAGAACACTTTCAGAAACCTCTCCAACTAGACATTACAAAAATAGGGTTAAATAGTTGTCAATGACATAGGAACACGGACTCTTCCTAAAATGCAAATAAGTATGTAACTGGAACGGAAAAAAAAATCAAAAGTTATGCAGTGACTGTGGATGAAAAATAACTGGAAAATATCAGAAATAAAATAGATTGCTGAGACCTGAAACTTTGTAAAAATCTCCCTCTTCAAATAATGATTTTTATTTTTCCAAACTGTGCTTTTTTGTTATAATTTATTAAAAATTATCTACCTTAGTAAACATTTCTAAAATGCACATACTATTCAATATATAAATATTTGGACTTGTTATTTGAAACAAAACCATTTTGCCCTAAAATGTGTTTGTTATCTCCCTTTTGTAGTATGAAGTCTTCTGAAAAATCCTGATGATCTCTTCACACATTTTGAAATTTTTCCATTTTCTTAAATCTTAAAAATCTGAGCTAATCAGTGTCTCACTGCTGAGGAGGTAAAACGGACAGTATCTAATTCCTTACCCATCATAGAGGTTACAGGACTCTATGCATATCCTTCCCCTGCTGAAGCGACGGCATGAAAGACACTGGTCTGGCCCAGGACCCCAACAGCCATCGTTGGAACATAGATGATTGCACACCATTCCTTCAGCAGCTGCAAAGCACACCAAAATCAAGGGTAAATAAAGCAAAAAAGTGTCAAAACTTACAGTATTCCTAAGATTGTTTAAGTGGTTTTAAAGACATTGGCTTCTTAAAGGAGATCTGCATCAGATAACTTTGCCTTATCTCCAATCCCCATGCCCCAGCCTATCCCCACTTACTCCATGCTGCAGAGGTCTACTCACTAATGTTTGAACAGCAATGTTGTATTTTTCATAAAATACAAAACTGAGCAAAACACAGGCATCTATTTGAATTCTAGAGGGAAGAGAGGTGATGGTTCCAAGGTAAGGACTAGACCAAGAACTTTCCCAGTCCAACGGTTGGCTCCACTAAGAAAATAAGTATTTATGCTTCAATTGTATCAGATAACATCACAAAAAAAAAGAAGAAAGATATTGTCTTAAAAAAATACTTAAACAAGAAGAGAGAAAAAAATGAAAAACACAAACAGAGCATAAGCGGGGGAGAAAAGAATAGAACTAAAATACAAGATTTTTTATGACTATATCTACCTTGATATTAGTACATGCAAAAAATAATTTTAAAAGAATATTCAAAATTTCAGGCTTACCCATGAGGAGGTATAGAGTTTAAAATACAAACAGGGTTTTTTAATCTTATGTCTTTTTTATCATGGGAGAAGTGCCAAAGATTTTGGGGGTTATGTTTTAAAATTGCCAGTTAAGGCTGTCCATTTCTGTTCTCCTTTATACTGAACGGCATTTATTCAGTATATTATTATTTGTATCGTGTAACATAATTTTGTTGAAGGGCCACTAGATGCTGAATAAGAAGTGCTCATAAAGATTTCAAATTCTATTCTGGGTACCTGAAAAGTGATTTTAGGCATCAGAAACACAAGTACATACGGTTTTTATGAAATGTAATGAATCTCACGAAGATAAAAACATTGAAATCTTTATCTTTCCATTGATTACCGATTTTATTTATTATAGGCTGCAAGGTTTCATGGAAAAAGTCTTTTGTGAAGTAAAATAGAAAAAAATACTATCTTAAATAAAAAGAAATTAAACAAGTTAAAAAAAAATGAACAATGCATTCAAAGAAGGTAAGAAGAGGAGAAAATAATAGAACTAAATGGCACCTGAACATGTTAATGTAACATAACCAGGGGACCATATCCTGGAAACTGTGAAAGTCAGCTGTTCTAATGTACTCTTGAGAGCATACTGCTTCCACCTTGGATGCTGACAAGGTTTTAAAATAATGAAATAAATTTCCTAGTTCCTACTTTCTTTGTCTAATATCATGGGGGCTAAAGAAGTGCCCATGTTAAATAGTGTAAAATATTTTCTTAAGGCTGATAGACATATCAATAAGACTTTTTATTTTATAACTGCTTACATGAATAATCTCTGCCAGTATAGTTTAAGATAGGAGAGTATATATATATATATATATATACACACACACACTTTAAGATAGGAAAATATATATATATATATATATATTTCTTTATTTATAAAGCAGTTTTAGTTTTACTGAGTTATATATGACATGATACATTGCTCATGTATAAAATGTACAATTTGATAAGTTTTGTCATGTGTATATACTTATGAAATGTATACATAGTAAGGATAATAAATGTATCCAATACCTCCAAAAGATTTGTTATGATGTATGTAATCTCTACCTTTTGTCCCATCCCCCTCAGACAACCAGGGGTTTAGTTTCTGTTACCATATACTATTTGTGTTTCATAGAATTTTACATAATATGTATCTCTTCTTATATAGTTTTTTCCCTCCCATGATTTTTGAAGATTCATCCATGTTCTGTGTATCAATATTTCATTCATTTTTTATTGAGTATATTCCATTGAACATATCATTTTTTTTCAAATCCATTTACCTATTGACAGACATTTAGACTATTTTCCATTTTGGTCTATTAAAAATAAGCTACTATAGGGCTGGGGTTGTGGTTTAGTGGTAGAGCGCTTGCCTAGCACATGTGAGGCACTGGGTTCCATCCTCAGCACCATATAACACAATAAATAAATAAAATAAAGGTATTTTGTACATCTATAACTAAACATACTTTTAAAAAAATAAGTTACTATAAATATATATATACAAGATATGGATACACACATTCATTTCTATTGGGTAAATATTCAGAAATGGTATGGTTGAATAATATGGTAGATATGGGGTTAAATTTTATGAAACTGTGAAATTGTCTCTCAAAGTAGTTGCACCAATTTACATTCCCACCAACCCATGAACACAACTGGAGAGCTGAAGTTCTCCCATGTCTTTGTTAATACTTGATATGATCACTGTTTTAATCCAGTCTTCCTTTATTGGCATGCAATAGTTTATCATGGCAATTTTTATTTACATTTACCCATGATTAAAGATGTTGAAATAATTAAAGTAAAAAAAAATTACATTAGTTTAAAAAAATTAAAAGATTTTGAGCATCTTTTAACGTATGTATTTGCTATTCATATATCTTGTTTGGTGAAGTGATACCAAATCTTCATTTTTGATATTATATTGATTTCTTATTTCCTGGTATTGAGAGGTTTTTTATTTTATAAGTACTTTCTTCTGATTTTAGCTTTTTCTTTTCACTATTTTAATACTGTCTTTTAGAAGTTTTAAATTTTGATGAAGTACAAGTTATCAATTTTACCTCTTATAAATCATGCTTTTTATATCATGTCTAAAAAGTTTTAAATATGCCTAACCTAGGGTCATGGTATTTTTTTCTGATGTTTTCTTTTATAATGTCCTTGTTTTGGGTCTTACAAATATGTATATGATCCACTTGGAGTTAATTTTTGTTCACGGTAGTATAGCAGTCAAGGTTCTTCAGAAAGAAATAAAAACAATATAATATAACAAATTATATATATTTATATAAAATAACTGTGGATTGTTCTGTTCCTATTGATTTATTTATCTCCAATGGCACATAAATATTTTTCATCTTGTCAATTTTAATTAAGCCACAACCCCAACCCTGTAGTAACTTATTTTTCATAGACCAAAATGGAAAACAGTCTAAATATCTGTCAATAGGTAAATGGATTTGAAAAAAATTGATATGTTCAATGGAATATACTCAATAAAAACAAATGAAGTATTGATACACAGAACATGGATGAATCATCAAAAACCATGGGGAGGGAAAGAAACTATATAAGAAGATATATATATATATATATAAAATAACTGTGTGAGCCGATCTCTTATTTTATATTAAAATTGGTAAGCAGCATTATCTGCCATCTGCAAACTGGGGTCACATGGAAGCCAGGGATGTAGTTCCAGTTTGAGTCTGAAACCCAGAGCTACAATAACAACAACGATGTAAGTTTGGGTCCAAGTCCAAAGGGCTAGGAACTAGGAGCACTTACGATAAAAGTCCCAATCCAAGAAGGTTAACATTCTACCCAAGCAGTCACAAAGAGTGAATTCTTCCTCCCTGTACCATTTTTTATTATATGCAGACCCTTAATGGACTGTATGATGTCTACTCATATTAAGGAGGGCAATCTGTTTCACTAAATTTATCAACTGAGATGCTAATTTCATCCAGAAACATTCTCACAGACACACCCAGAAATAATGTTTAACTAATCTAGGCATCTCATGCCTCAGTTAAATTGACAAAATTTACTATCACACCTACTTAGTAAGAATCTATTCCTTTTCTTTATATGGATATTCAATATTTTCAGCACTATTCTTTTAAGAAATTATCCTTTCTTTTCCAAATGCAAATGTAAATGTAAATTTGCATATATGTGAAAAATTAATTGTCCCTGTAGTGTGGATTGATTTCTCGTTCTGTTCCTATTAATCTATTTATCTCCAATGGTACATAAATATTTTTCATCTTGTCAAATTTAATCCATTTGTGTTTTTATGTTTGAAGCTTATGCTATGAAAGTAATATGTAATAATGTATCTCACTTTCAATCTGTCAATTTCTGTCTTTTAAATAGGTGTTAGACCAATTTAGTATAATTATTGTTATAGTATATTAATTAATGTTGAGTCATTCATCTTGCTTTTTTTCTGTTTATTTAATTTGTTCTCTTTCCCTTTCTCTTATGTTTCTGCTACATTTTTTTATTCACTGAATTTTTATGATTTCATTTTTTCTTCCCTTTCTTTTTTAAGGCATCTGTGTACATAACTTTTGATGTGCAATTTAATCTCTTGGGCTTGTAGTATACACATTTTTAATTGTACTTTTTTATTCTGAGATAATTCCCGTGTAGTTGTAAGTAACAACATAGAGAGATTCCTTGGTACCTTTACTCAGTTTAACCTAATGATACGATCTTGCAAACTGTAGTACAATAACACAACCAGGTTGTTGATGTTGGTATTGTCAAACTACAGAAGAGATTCCCTCCACACCAAGAATCGCTACTGCTGCATGTTTATATCCACGATGCCTTGTCTCCTATCTTCACTTCTACCTCATCCCCTCAACCTCTCTGAATTCTATAATTTGGTCATTTAAAAATATTGATAAATGGAACCATGCAGTATGCAACTTTTAAGGATTGGAATTCTTTTCACTCAGACATCTCCAGAGATTCTCCAGGATGTTCTGTACGTTAGTATCATGTTCCTGTTTTACTGCTAGTAGTATTCCATGGTCTGGATCACCACACTTTATTTAACCATCCATCTGTGGAAGGACACTTGAGTCATTTCCAGTTTACAGGTATTAAAAATTGTGTTGATACAAACATTTGTATACAGGCCATGGTGTGAGTATGATTTTAATTCTTCCTGAAATGCTCAATTCCTGATCACATGGTAGAAGTGTTTCAGTTATTATTATTATATTTTATAATGAGTATAATAAATTGTTTTCTAGAGTGGCTGTACCATTTTACATTCCAATTGACAAGGTGTACATTATTGCATTTTTCTGTATCTTCTCTGGCATCTGACTTTATCACTGTTTGTTTTAGCTATTCTGATATCTATGGTA